ACATAAGATCTAGACACACCTTTGTTAAATGAGGAGTACAACTTCAGGCAGTCCATATCACAGCTGCATTGGGAAAAGGAAGCACATGAGCTGTTTTATGGGTTTACAAATATATTATTTGCTTTGGGGTTCTAGGATCTACAGACTAAATATAAATCAAATTCTGAGGCAAGAGTTTTTTATATGCTGTGTTTATCAAATAGTTGTGTGATTAAGTGGACCGGTGGTTTCTGTCCTGTCCCAAATTAGCAAGGTAGACTGCTAGATGTAACAAACAGCACTATCAATTTTGCAGTACATACTGCCCAAAATATATATAACTGAGATTAATAGGCACTTAAGCTTCTTGTTTCAGCTCCCCAGTTATATACTTCAAACTGGAATTAATTCAAGTATATCATAATGTACAGTACAGGCAATGTGCTTCTATCAGTCTTTGTCTTAATAACCAAGACCTTCAAATATAAGAGCCACAATTAATGACTGAGCTGTAATCTCATATGAGAACATATATTAATGAGCTGTTGAATTCTCATTTCAGTACAACTGGCCAAGATGGTGCAATACTTAGTATTTTTACAACCCCTTCCTTATAGCTATCCCTACCCAGAGACTGACCTAATTTGTATGACTGTTTAATCTTATCTGCATGTTTAGCTGACCACACAACTCCAACAGTAATTTTTCCCAGCAGTGTTTTCCTGGTGTTTTGACTCCATATATTGTCATTTTTATCACTGCAAGCTTTCTTGTTGGAAGAGAGAAGTTATTTTTGTTATTTTTTTAGCTTCTATGCCAGTGATATCAAAAGAATGCAATAGTTTGGTAAATCCCTCTTAATAACGAGAGAGCCTGCAGATACCATCTGCAATAATGACTTAGGGCATTCATTGAGATTGCCGCCATTTGGAGTTTTTTGGTTCATTTATGTTTAGCACTGTCCTATACCTAACCTGCCAAAGTGGTAAAATGTCCTTTTCCTTTCAAATTCAAGACTAGAGAGCTTGTGGTTGAGAAAGTGGGCTGTAGTGTCTTTCCATTCTCCCCAGAGTGGCAATCATACCATTTTAATTTCTCATCTGCATAAAAATGTTCAAGGCTACCTACTATCCCATTTTGGTTGTGTTCATATTATTAGTTGATTTGCTTGCTATTATGCTCTGCTCTCATAAATTATCTAAATGTTGTCTTAAATGCTTAGTGAAAAGTGATACATACTAACAATATGCTTAAGTATACAATAAAACAAAACAAACTAGTTTAGTTTTACTTATAAACATGTGAATAAATAGCCATTGAACTACTACAAATCTTTAGACTGGGATCTAATTTAGACTTCATAACTGGATATGATCTAGACCCCACAAAGTTGTCTGTTTGCTTAGGCAGTATTATTTCCTCCTCCGTTGTTCATTATTTCCCTCTCAGTTCCATTTCCATTTCTTACGCTGCTTCCCCTCTAATTCCCATTTGGTATCTGTTCCTCCATGGCTTCCTGTCTGCCTACAAGTGACCAACTAGGTCTTTTCTTCCTTTTCATCTCCCTGTTCTCTCATTATTTCTCCCCACTTAAACATCCCTCCTCCTAATCATTTTAACTATGCTGAAAACCTTTCCTGTACAAGACCTAGGCAAGAGGAACTGATTCTGCTCCCCAACCATGACACCAAGCTAAAGTAGGTGGTGTTCAGCAGATCTGCTGCCTGTTACATGGGCAAAGAAGTGAACACCCATTAAGGGTAGAAAATGGTGAGAAAGCAATGGCAATTATTGAACATCCACTGGTTTGAATTCTGAGCCATGTTAAAGACAAAGAATCAGCCAGTTACTCCTGGGCTCTAGAATGACCTGATAGAATGGGAAAATGGTCCACAATCAACCAAGTAAAATTCAACAAGGACAAATGCAAAAGTTGCATACACAACTATAGACTGGGGAATGACTGGCTAGGCTCAAATACTGCAGAGCAAGACCTGGGAGTTATAGCAAACTGATTATGAACCAACAGTGTGCTCTTGTTGCAAAATAAGTAAACAGCATACTTGGTTGTATTAGCAGGAGTGACACTAGCAAATCAAAGGAAATTATTCTTCAGCCCTACTTAGCACTGGTGGTGCTTGACCTAGAGTACTGTGCCCAGTTTTGGGCGCCACACTTCAAGACGGATGTGGACAGATTAGAAAGAGTCCAGCAGAGAGTGACAAAAATTATTAGAGTCCTGGGAAGCATGACTGATGAGCAGGGAACTGGGTTTTCCATTTCCTGTGGAAAATGGGGGAAAAACGCACATTTTCTCTTTTAACAAAGAAAAGCACAGATTTTTCACCTTGATAGAGAAACACATGGATTTTCCACTTTTGCAAAGAGCTGTCTGCTGGCTAGCAGTTTCAGGCATCAAGTAGCTGGAGGGAGCAGGAGGAGGGCAGTCAGGCAAGGGACACCATGTGCATTTGTGCATTCACACATGTACCTGGCTGTGAGGCAGCCTGGAGAGCAGCTCCTCCAAGTAAGTCTGGTGGAGGGGGAGTGGGGATTGAGGCCCCCATAGGGAGGGAGGGAGTTGGGCTGTTGCCCAGCTAGGGCACATGCCCCCAAGATCTGTGCATGGGGCAGGCTGCCCACTGTGAACTCAGGCTCCCTGCCCTGCTGCCCTCCCCCCAGGGCCTCTGCACCCCAGTAAGACTCAGCATAGCAGACAGAGCTGAGTGGCCACTGCAAGCCCCAAGCCATCTTGGGGAAGTGCCCGATAGCAGTAGGGGTGGCAGCGTGGAGTTGTGCCTCTCACTGCTGCCAGGGGGGCAGGGGGTGCATTGCCACGGCAGAGCAGAGCTCCCAGCATGGCAACAAACTTCCCTGCCCGGCCCCGCCGAGTCCCACCTGTTGGGCTGCAGAGGCCCCGGGGGGAGGGCAGCAAGGCAGGGAGCCCAAGCCTGCAACAGGTAACCCACATCTGTCCCCACTCCCAAAGAGCTTCGCTCCAGCCGTGCTGCCTGTGTGGGAGGGAAAGCTGGGCTCTGCACTCTGCTCCACCAAAGCAGCCACAGCCTCCCGCAGGCAGCAGCCAGGGCTTGGGTGTTGCTGTGGGGGCAGGGGGCTGTGGACCCTGGCCCTGTAGCCCTGGCAGCTGGGGGGAGTGGAGGGCTATGGGTGGGGAGCAAGGGCACCAGCAGGGGTGTGAGGCTGTGTGGGGTGTGACCACCCCACCTGTGTGGCCACCCCACCTGCACATGGCACATCCTTATTCCTGCACATTAGCAGCAGTGCCTATCCTGGCACATCATGCTACTTCACATCCCTGCCAGACTCCAGCCCAGGACTTATATGACCAACCAGCTAGGACCAGCCTACAGAATCCAGGAGCATCCCAGCCAAACTGGGACATATGGTCACCCTAGCCTTAGGGGACAGGACTAGGAGCAATGGACTGAAGCTACAGCAGACGAAATTTAGGTTAGAGATTAGGAAAAACTTTTTGACTATAAGGGTGTCAAGCACTGGAACAGGCTACCTAGGGAAGCTATGAAATCTCCACCCCTAAACATTTTCTGTAGCAGGTTAGACAGACATTTGGTTAGGATAGTTTAGTCGGGGCTGATCCCATCTTGAGCAAGGGGTTGGGCTAGAGGACTATGAGGTCACTTGCAGCCCTACTTTCTTATGATCCTGTAACCTATGTCCATGGTTGGGAGTCATGTCCCAACACAATCTACTTTCCACTGCACAACTATTTCATGTTCTCTCAACTTCAGCCATCATTAAGTGTATAAAGATGAGGAAGAGGGTGGGACAGGACTGTGTTAGGCATAATCCCCAGACCCAACTGCACCTTCCCCTTGTCCCCTGCCATTTAAAAACCCAGTTTACCTTGATGAGTTCGTAAGGGTGTGGAGACACAGATGACTGGAGCCCTTTCAAAAGAGGGCATTGCTATATTTGAATCACTCTCAGCTGCTTCAGACACAACAATTAGAACATACCTGCTGTTCTATTGAAGTTTTCCTTAGAGGAGATCCTAAGGTTGGGGGAAAAGAAAGTCCTTTTTGTTTTCCTAAAACTGATATGTCTTCCCCAATTTTCTATTTCCTGTCCTACAAACAGGGCCCTCTCAGTAGGTAGAGTATGTCAAGCTGCCACTCTTCTATGTGCACTTAGGGCTGGTCTATCTTATGGAGCTGCTGCTGCTGCTACTACTACTATAGTTATGTCAATATAGCTATTTTACCAGAGTCCCCTAGGGGAGATATCACATATGCTGACAGCAGAGTTTTTCTGCTGCTGTTACACCACATCCCCACAACCAATGGGACTATTTGCACTATGAATGCAACATGGGGACTCAACATAAGGATTCTAAACTCTTATGTCTAATAAAAAATTACTACAATTTAACTAAGACTTGTTCTTGTGTTATACCACATCATCACTTCTCCATTTCCTTATCAAGCAGCATTTTGAAACAAAGGACCTGCTACCATCTGTGGGTGCTACTCTTCTCCCTTATCAATATTATTCAGAATAGACAGTGCAAAACCCTGGATAATACTCCAGGACACTCTCTTCTCATCCTCTTACACATCCATGGCGAGCACTTAATAGTACTTCACATATCAAGAAAGAATTTTTACATGAAGCCACATTGCTCTGGCACTCTTCTGGCACCTGACATGAAAAGTGCATTTCGTGAAAGGAAGCCAGCAATCCTGAGATTTACTGAATATAGCTGCAATTTACTGAATGTATCTTACACCGGGTTTGTTGTTGTCAACTTTGGTTTAGAAAGCTAATATGAGTTATCAATATGATAATGTAAAAATGCTTCACACACACCTACTATCCAAGGGTAATAAGACAGCGATGTGATCAACACTGAAAGATGGTTAGGGGTACGTTAGCTTGCATATCATTTTTCTATGAACAGCGGAGACCCTCTCCACTATCTACCTTACACATGGACTAAACGCATGTTCCTTCAGCCACCAAGAGACGGCTTACGCCATTACAGAACAATTGTTTTATTTATTTGGGGGTCAAAAATTGCCGAGTGGCAGTAGAAACAGGCTTAGGAATAGGGGCGGAAATCAAGCAAAGTTATATAGAGCCAGTCTAAATATGTCATTGGTGCAGACCCAGTTGTCACTAATATTCTTGAGAACAAACAACTGGTGGAATCCCATCACTGGATCGTTATCCACCTAATGTGAAAAAAGTGGGGGGGAGAGTTATCAGTGGGAAGGATAGCTCACATATTAAAGAAATAAACACAACCAGCATTTACAATAAAAACATCCAAACTGTCCAACTGTATCAGGTTAGCATGTGCTAGTTAGACATCCACTGCAGTGCCTGTGGACATTCTACTGAACTGAGGCCAAAACAGAACAGTAATGATATTACTTTAAGTCCTTCAAACAGCACTTCTATTTGACTAAAAAGTAAACTGATTTAAATGAAGGAAAACTGGAAACACAAGTATTAGTCAAAGCTTTACAATATATTCCAATTCTCACCTTCAGCTGCCCAACCACCATACTGAGGATAGAATTATCAGGGGCTGGTTGATGATCTTGGGATGTTATGCTGTGTTGAATTTTTTGGAATGGAAGGCTCTGTTTAGGAAATCAAGAAACATTAAATATGATTCTCACACAAGCTAGACATATGCATATAAATACTGCACTCCATTTTTGTATTTGATAGCCCATAGAAATAAATTTTTGGTCTGGGGCTCAAGGGAATTAAACAGATGCAATAAAGCTAATTTACAAAAGAGCAAATCAGCCATCAGCAAATGTTTTGCCTGGAAAATGTTGCAAGTAGATCCAGTGGAAATGTTTCAAATACTTTGCATAGTTAACTACAATAAGCTCAGCATATTTTAGAAAAGGATGTGTTAAATGTATTAATGGTATCTAAAGTAAAGTACTTAAATTTTTATTTCCCCCACACAGGTAACACTATAAAATACTGCCCAGTGACTCTGCATGCAAGACATTTTGCAAGTATTTCCTTCCTCGGGCCCCCCCATTACTTATTTCTATAGATTCTATTGATATAAAGATTTACATATGTGGCTTTTTAAGAAAAAATATAAATAAATTAGCAAGAAAAATCTTATTAAGTTACATAATATTTAAGTTCGCAGTTCAACACCTGCACTCAAACTAAGTGATTATGTAAAAAGTGACACCTCTTTATTTTCAGATCTGCTGACAAGTCTACCAGATCTCATTCTAGCTAAGAGAGCAGACACAGCTAAGCATGAGCTGCGATCTATACTGTCTAACTTACTGACAGAACTGTTAGTCGAGTTTGAACTAGAGGGTCAAATTCAGCTATGAGCAACATCACAGTAGTAGCTGACTGCTGAATACACTGTGTAGAACTTAAGAGTAAAGAACTCAGTTTGACTTCAGGGTGCTGGCTACTTGAAAAACATCTGACTGACCAGATTTATTCTTAAAGTCACTGATGCAAACATGGAATTCCACAACGCCATCTTAACAGTAATTTCACAGCAGCAACTGCCAGTAGTTCTCAACACCAAAAACAGTTATGCAAAACAGACACAGAAGAGAGTCATCTCTCCTACTTTTTCATTTGTAAATCAAACTGCAAGCCAGTTCAGTGAGACAAAGACTTATTTTTTTTAATGGCAACCTTCTCTTAATTTTTAGTAGATACAGAAGTATACCATCAACTTTTCCATGATGGCTGTTTTTCCTTGGAATTGCTGCCCTTCCCATGTCAAGCAAGAAGCATCCATCTGGAAAGAAAGCATGGCTGTCAAAAATCACTTATATGTCAATGCTGTAGAAGCAAGGTAAGACAGAAGAGTCTTGCAAATGTATCCTAGACTGATGCATGTAAAATACTTGTGAACTAGGCTAGTTATTTCCCAAATTCTGGTTTCCATGCAAGCTAACAGTGTTTTTACTTATCAGTGTTAAAGATGAGTGACATTCCGCATGAAATCTTGAGGGGTGACAGTGGTTCACTGGTCCACAGAATTCAGGAACTACTTATTTAGGCATTAGTAAATGAGCATTTGTTACAGATGAAGCTGTTCACAACATGGTCAATATTAAAGATATCTTCTCCTGACATCTTCTGAAAATAAATTAACCAACTGCCATTGCAATAGCAGGGCACTGACAATGTCTTTGTTTCCTCTGCTTTTATCTATGGCATATTATGAGGTGTTCTTTGTGTTTCTGGTGTTGTGCCTTGTTTGTGTTTCCTGGTGTTTTCCAGTGTTGTGCCTTGCGTGCATGCAAGGGTTTGAAATGGTGATTTTTAGGATTGGTTCAACTGCCTGAAAACACGGTGGATGGACCTGATGATCCAGGAGGCCCCTTCCAGTCTTACATCAAAAACCAGAAAGAGATGCTGCTAGAGTCAAGTAAGCTTTCATGTAGACCAGGGGTGGGCAATTATTTTAGATGGTGAGCCACTTAATGAGTTTTGGTGAGCTGTCAAGGGCCACATACATACAATCTTTCAGAAGATGTCATTTTAACAAACTAAAAACAAAATAACAAAATCATATATTAAAACTAAACATCTACTATAACATTTTAATTTTATTTAAAAAAAATAATTTATCTTTTTTAAGTAGTGTATATAGAGGTGATTGTATAATAGCTCAGAATAGTCTTACTCTTGTATATTGTGTGTGTGAAAGGAGGAGGGAGTTGTGTGTGTGGAGGGGAAGCATATGCAAGTTTGTGGAGGGCTGCCTGCGTGCTATGTCCTGAGAGCCAGCTGGGGACAGGGGTCCATGTAGCAGAGCTTCCCTGGGCAGTGAGTGCAGTGTAGTGCAGTGCAGTGCAGGTGCAGGTGCGGTCTGCTGCCCTGTAGTGACCACATGGGGCCAAACCACGTCCACTCCTACAATGGGCAGCCCATGCTGCACTTCCGCTGTGCACACCTTCCCAGCAGAGATGCTCCTGCAGAGATGCTCCTCCAAGAGCCACTCTAATTAAAGTGCCCAGAGTGTCATGTGTATCAGCATCCCCGTGCTGAAAAATGGTGGCAGGGCTGCTTTAACTATAGCTCGTTGAATGCCCCACATGCCTAGCCAGGCGGAGGGGGAAGCTGCAGCCGTGCAGCTCCTGTCCCAGCAGGTGGCTGCTCATTATGCCACATGGGCAGAGTGTGTAAGGTGGCCAGGAACTGGAGCCCCAGGCACTGAGGCAGGAGCTACCTGGCTGCAGTTTCTCCCCACCTGGCTAGGCATGTAGTGCCCAGCATGTGTCCCCACAGCTGTTGCTGCTTCCTTGCACTGCCTGCTGCGGTGCAGCAGGGGCAGGAGGAGGAACCACGTGAAGTGGGGGGAGCTGAGCAGTACCCAGAGGGCTGTTGGAGCAGTGGGAGCAGCCCCACCGGGAAGCTGTGCACACTGGTGAGGGCCAGGGATGTCAGCCGGTGTAGGGCAGGCGCAGGTGGAAGCGCAGCATAGGTTGCCCTGGGCAGGAGCGGGAAGGTTCAGCCACATGCAAAGTGCCACGGCAGGGCAGTCACAGGTCAGATACAATCAATTGGTAGGCTGCATCTGGCCCACAGGTCATATTTTGCCCACCCCGATGGAGACCATTCTATTTCCAGCCCATTTCATACCATCTCACACTAACTGCGGTAGCCTGTTCAATTCTCAAAATCTAAGATGAGTTTTTTGGTGTGATATACAAAAAAGCAGACACAGACTACCTTGTTGCCCCTTTCATCTTTCAAAGCTTTTTTTCTTCTGCCTGACAGACAGCTCATGTAAGCCATCCAGCAGGAGGGACAACAGCTATACAACACCAACATGTTTATGGCTGGTATTTAGAAAGGAAGGCTTAAGAGTTCTCTCCAACAATTTTTCCCCAACGGGAGTGAGAAATTGTTATCAGGAACCTCAATTTATAGGGCAAATGGAAATTCAAGGAGTTCAGATTGACCTGGGGGACACATTCCTTGCTTGCTTCTGTTCCCTTTACCAGATGCATATTGTGTTATTCATATCACTGCTACTGTTGTAGCAGAAAGAAAAAAATGTCAAGCCCATAATTAATCATTTGAATGTCTTAACGAGGAAGTTTCAGCATCCAGCTCAAGGCAATACTTACATAGAGAGCACTCAGCTGAACCCTGCTGGCATCAAAATGCTGGTAATAGAGATGTACAAAGCTTGTCCCAACTTGCTCCCACATGGGTCTATCCACCATTTTCTCTGTTTAAATCTATCAAGAAAGACATTTTAAGTGCACAGTAATACTAAGCTGCTAGAGTCAGTGGAAAATGCAGATGAAGGAAACTGAAGAGGATGAGAACATTTCCTTTTCTGTAATAAACTTTGGGGGCTGAAGAGAAAGAGATTACAACACTGAAACTGATTCTCCACTAAACCACAACAGGCCATTCTTCTTCACTGTCAAATTCAAGTCCCACAAATAAGAATTTTTCTTACATACCCTGCAGGGCCCCTTTGGACAAGCTAATTGTTTAAACAGCATCCACTGCAAATTTTTACATCTCAAAACTGAAGTTTTCAGTAAAACTTAAAAGCCAGCATACTGAAGAGACCTTCCAAAGGTCTATCATTATTGAAAACAATCCACCCACCACTTCAAAAGGGTGATTAAACATGTGCTGATAATACAAACACTGTTTGGATTATAACCAGTCTGTCTCTCTGCAGCTCGGTTTTCAGTCCCAGTTTAAATAAAGCCACAGAGGCCTTCTTGATTTCCACAGCTAGAAGTGTTTTCTCCAGGCAAGACAGCAATATTAGTAGATCCATTTAACAGGTTCCTACAGGCAGGCATAAAACAAAGAGTGGGTACAGAGTGGGCAATCTCTACACAGAGCTTTGCGTGTGCAAATGGGAAGCTCAGCAGATCTCAGCTCAGGTGGGGAATTCTTGTGAAAAATCATCTCCTTTCTCTTGCTGCTGGTCACGGATGGCCTATTTCATTAACACATGCCAACTATCCTACAAAACAGCCACCAAAAAACCCCACTATAAAAATCCTAAAGGATCAGGGATTTTAACTAACTGGTACAAAGTCGCTTGTTGCAAAATGAAACAATGAAATGTATTAACCCTCCTCTCAAGCATATGGTAGCATTCACATCTTCCAATAGGTACATATACTTGTCTCTAAAAGTAAAAAGTTAAACTGCACATATCATACTACGACTCTGTAGGTGAGAGATGAGGGAGGTGAGAGATGGCCTTAGCCAGCAGCTGTAGCAGCAGCACAGGGTGTTACCAAACATGGTAAATCAAGACTGGATGACTCCAGTCCGCTCCCTAACTCTGCAAAAAACTCAAGAGAAGCAATGCAGAGCTCCAAATGACAGCCACATCCAGCGCTAAAAACAATCAGGCCTATTTATTATATCAAAGAGATGGTGTAGGCCTATGCCCACAAGGAAACCTATAAGCCCCTCTTGGTTACAAGGAGGCTGGTAGAGGTATAACAGTTCATTACTGTGGACAACAAAAGAGAAATGGGGAATGGAAGTGAGGGTTACAGGTTAACAAGGGTCCTGGGGGAGGGGGACACAGGCCAGCACCCGCTGCCCCTCCATGTGCCCAAGCAGCCAGTGGCACCACTCAGTGAACTTCTGGAGACGTGTATGGAGAAGCTGTCACCCGGAGAGCAGCCAGCCCACCCAAGCACAGCCCAGGCACTCACCCCCGTGCCTCTCCCACTTTACCTGTCACCAGTTAGGGGGGGCAAGTCTGTGTTGTGTCAGTTGAGGGTAGTTTTAGGCGGAGTTTAGGTGAGGGTGACATGGGGTGGGTTGGAGAGGGCAGATCCTGCCTCAGGCAGGGGGTTGGACTAGATCGGTGTTTCTCAACCCATGGGTCATGACTCAAAATTGGGTCACAGGAGTACATGAAAGTGTTCGGAACAAACTTTAAAAATGGATTCTTCTTCAGAGGACAAAAAATTCGGGAAGCTGCAGGTTTTCCCTTGCAGGCTGGCAGAGCTCCAGCCTATGAGGGGCCCCTTGGGCCTTGCCCTGCCCCACACCCCCCCCCCTGCCTCTCACACTGGGGGGGCTGGGGGTCAGGAGTGAGGGGAACTGGGTCAGGACTGGCCACGGATGCCTACAAATGGCCCCTGGTACAAAACGGGTTGAGACCTGCTGGACTAGATGACCTCTGGAGGTCCCATCCAGCCTGGCTTCTCTGTAAGTATCCCAACGACCCTGGGAGAGGCAGCTTAGACCAAACAACCAGGCACACGCGGGAAGCCGTAACCCCACCGTCCCTGCTGTGATCTCCTGTCCAGCTGGTGTTTATTGAGCAGCGGGCAGAGGATCTGCCCAGGGCACAACACGGGCTGCTCCTGGGACGCGGCTCCCATCCCCTCCTACCTGGGGGCGCAGCGGGAAGCCCCTGGAGCCCACCCACGCGCCCGCCCGGCGCGCGGAGAGGACAGGACAGGAGAGGACAGGAGAGGACAGGAGGCGGCGGCGCCGGCCGCGGAGCTCAGCCAGGCCGCCCTA